GGGGAGGGGCGGAGGAGGGGCAGGGGCACCCACAGGGAGGAGCCGAGAGAGCAGAATGGTTTTCTATTTTTTTGTTGGGATTTGTGTCCCCTTCACCCCCCACTCCCAAGCCTTGGGTGTCGGCCCAGTCTCTACCTTCCTGGGCTCACCATAGTGCTTTGATTCCCATCCAGCTCTTATGCCTCGCTTGCCCCTGGAGGAGTCATTTCCTGTCCTCTTTCTTTTACTTGCTTGAGATAAATTCATGCAGTATAAAGTTAAAAATTTCAAGGCCAGCAGTGTGGCACGCTTCGCGTCTCAGCGAGCGCCCCCACCCTCTGTGTCGTTCAGGAATGCCCTCAGTGCTCGCCAAAAGCCCAGCACCACTCGGCTAAGCAGTCGCTTCCCAATCCCCAAGCAGCTCCTACTCTACTCTATCATCTGTGGATTTATCTTGTGCATATTCTGTATCAATGGGCTCCCTCAATATGTGGCCTTTTAGTCCATGCGGAGTGATGCTTTTGAGGTGGACCATTACACATTGTATCTTCACTGCATCCCTTTTGATGCCTGAGTAATATTCCACTGTAGGAGTGACCACCTTTTATCTTTTGACTTAACAGTTGACAGGCGTTGGGTTCATGGCCACCATTTGATATTGCAAAGAACACTTACACATTTGTTTCAGTCGCTGGCTTTAATTCTTTGGAGCATAAACCTAGGGGTGGAATTTCCAGGTCACACTGGAATTCTAGGTTTGAATTCTGAGAAATTGGTGGTCGCACCATGTCCGGTTCAGAGTGCTCAAGGCCCCGCTTGCCTTTGCCATCTGTCTCTGGCTGTAGCCATGGCAGCCGCCGCGAGGGGGCCGCTCACCATGCTGTTCACGCTCCTTTCCTAATGATGTGGGCGACGTGTGTCTGTTGGTCACTTGTTTATGCCTGTTTTCAAAGGCTGGGTCATTTGTCTCCCTGCTGGTGAGCTGTAGGCGCTACGTGGATCCCGGACTCAGGGACAGGCGCTCGGGACCTATCCCGTACCCACAGCTGCCTTCCCCTGCCTGGAGCCCCGGCTGCCATCTGTCCTCCTGCCTCAGTGCTCTGTCTCGGGAGGAGCACAGAGCCTCGCTGCTCTGCCCCTGGGGTCTCCAGCTGCCTGGAGGCAGAAGCCGAGTGGCCTCGGGTCCCCGGTAGCATCCGGCTGCTCAGGGCTTCGCAGCCCCAGCCTCCTCCGACCTCCCTGGCATGGCCAGCCCTTGGGCTTCCCAGATTCTCCTGGCCCAAAGTCCCCAGCCAGGTCGGGTAGCTCCTGCACTGGCCGCACCCCTGGGGCGGAAGCGGGAGGAGCCAAAGCCCCGCTGACTGAGCAGGACGCTGATGTGCGCATGGCCAGCTGCGCTCCTGCTTTCAGGCCTCTGTGAAAATCCAGGGATGTGGTTTTTACAGGCAGCCAGTGCCAGCCACACCGCCCAGAGGAGAGGGTGGAGTTCAGAATGCTCTCCCCAGCGACCTGCTGTGGCTCCTAGTGACACCGCTGCACACCAGAATGATGCTCTGATCCGTGTTATCTCGCTCTTCCCCCAGCATCAAGGCGGCTGCCGGTGTGACGATAACGGCCGTGAGAGTCAGCAAGGAGGACCAGTGGGCAGTGCAGGAGGAGATTGAGGACAGCGACACACAGATGACAGCCGCCCTGGCCTGCGTGGGCCACCACCCCGACACCCAGAGCAGGTGAGTGAGGCCCTGGGCTCCCCGGCGGGCCGATGTGCTTCCGGAGCCCCAGGGGGCACCATGCATGTGTGACATGAGCCCGCCACTGCGTGAGACTTTTGTCCTTTACTGCCTTTGTACACGAGCACCTAATTAGGTCGGTGGTTTTAAAAATGGCTTCTGTTTGCGTTCGTGGCAGGGCAGCTCGATAAGCATACTTCAGCTCAGCGGCATTATTATTAGCGCTGCTGTTTGCAGGGTGGGGTTGGAGGATGAAGTGAGAGCCCGGGGGGAAGACGCGCCCGTGTGACCACTCGGGGTGGCTGACCACGGTCCCGGGATCTGAAGCTGGAGGAACCTGCGTGGCTGGGTGGGGGCCCGTCTCCGCTTGCTGAGGCCAGCAGTGGGTGCGTGGCTCACGGGACGCAGAGAGTCGAGGCTGGTGGCTGGCTGCCGAGGGAGCCGGTGGGTCGGATGCGCAGGGCCCGTTGCGCACCCCATGCACCCCTTCTGTGCCCGCCCTCTCTCCACCCATCACACACTCATCCCTTGGCCGGCTGAGGCCTGACGCTCAGCTTGACACGCGAGCCCCTGGGGGATCTGACCCTGTTGCCCTGCCGCACGTGGCCTGTCATCTCCTTTCGCCCAGGGAAGCAAACCTTTTCAACGGTCTCCACGGAAGTCGTCCCTTCTGAAGGGAAGGCGTGTGCTCCACACCTTCGCCCGCGGCTCAGGGTGGTCTTGGGAAGTGCACGCCTGGGACTGATTTGAGCTGTGAGCCAGAGACAGCGAAGGTAGAGGAAGGGGGCAGCCGGTGAGCCAGCGATGTCGCTGCGACCCTCTGAGTGGTGTCGGCCGGGGGCGGGCGGAAGTCTGTGTTGGCGGAGTCCCTGTGTCTTCCTGTCGCTGGGAGGAGGCTTCCCTTGCGTGCTGCTATATCAGGGCCTTTTCTGATCGCTGCCATCAGCCTGTGTCGGGCACTCACCTGTCATGGGACACTGTACCCAGCACCCACGGCTCAAGGCAGGAGAGGGGTCTTTTGGCTCAGGGTTCAGTCCATGGTTGGCTGGCTCCAGGCAGAGACAGCATGGTGGAAGGGCCTGGTGGAGGACAGCTTCTCACGTCATGGTGGCCAGGAAGCAGTGATAGAAGGGAGGAGCCAGGAGGGAAACAACGCTTCCAGGCCCCGCCCCAAAGGCCCCGCCCCTCGAAAGGCCCCACCCCCAAAGGCCCCGCCCCTCGAAAGGCCCCGCCCCCTCGAAGGCCCCGCCCCTCGAAAGGGCCCCGCCCCCTCGAAGGCCCCGCCCCTCGAAGGCCCCGCCCCTCGAAGGCCCCGCCTTCGGACAGCGCATTCAGCTATAAACCCACCACCAGTGGATTAACCCTGGTGCCTCCAAGCTCCAGCCTCCTCCCAGGTGCCGTCCTCTGGACCTGAGGCCCCTGGGGCCCAGTTCTGCCTTCATGGAGCGCCTCGTGCAAGGCGGAGGAATGCAGGCGGACGAGCCAGAGGTGTTGGGCCCGCTGCCCCAGTATCTCCCAGGCGCTGTCGTCCACTTCTGCTCTGGGCTGGCTTTCCAGGGTCGGGATGGAGGGCGGCGCCCCAGCATGGTCTGCGGAGCGGTTATTCCAGGGCGAAGCTGCTCTTCCCAGAAGGCGCAGCACAAGCCCCGGGCTCCGTGGTCACCGACTCTGCTTAGTGCAGCTTGGACCTTGTGCCGGCCTGGGCTAGCCACTGTCAGCAGCCTTCCAGGGCCGGGTGGAGATCAGTGGAGGGCTCTCCCGGGTCCACGGGTGCCGACGGGGACGAGTGAGAAGCGGGGTGTACTGACCACCTCGGAGTCGCGGCCTGGCGCTGAGCAGAAGCGGGTGGCATCTCCTGGCCCTGCACCCCAGACTTGGGCGGGCGTGGTGCTGTCTGCGGTCTGAAGGGCAAATTAATTCTGTTGAAGTATTGGACTAGGTGGTAATGTTTTAAGGTGAAAGAGCCATATACGCTCGCACAAGCAGTCATCCCTTTGGTTTTGTGGAAATAATTTTTTTTTTTTTTTTCATTTTCTGTAGAAGAGATTTTTTTAAATGGCTACATGAGAAAAAAAAAATCAGGTAGTTACATAAGCAAAGTTACATAATTCCGAGACAGCCCGACCTCTGTTCCCCTCTCTCTCTTCCTCCCCCTTCACATTTAGAGCTTGACCTCTCTCGGGCTATGACAAGGGCTGGGAGTGTTTCCCTGGCATGACAATTTATGCTTATCCAATATCCCTCTAAAATCCATTCCATAATCTAAATAAGTAATTGCTTCTTTTTATACTTTTTGTTGCATTGTGATATCAAATGAGGTGTGAAATACAGGCTCATGGACTGGGTTTGTCGCTAACAAAGTGAATATATGAATATATCCCTCACAAAACATCCGCAGAAAGCTGTAATCTCTGAATTGTGACAACCTGGAGTGGAATGGAGCTTTTAATAGAATGTAATGTACGAACCGCCTGAAATTCTGTGATAAGAACTCAGAACGTGTCGGGTGGAAAGGCCCAGCGTGCGCGGCTGGGAGGGCCGAAAAGTCTCAATCTAAAATATTTTAATGAAGACTCCTTGTGAGGAAACGTGAGCAGTTGTGACACAAGCCGCCAGATAAGGGCAGCCTTGCCAGACCTGGGGAGAAGAAGCGCTGAGGGAAAAGAAGCAAATGTGAAAGTGTTCTGGACAGATGACAGGGACTCCGGAGTGACCGGAAGTGGGCGGATGGGCCGGGGCATGGAGACCACGTGCCGGGGTGGGGGGACGATAGGCAGCAGGGGGCTGGCCCGGGTGACTGCTGTCCATTGGGCCCCAAGCTTCAGAGACCAAGCTGTCCCTCTGTGTGGTCAGAAACCAGGATACAGAGCTGCTTCCCCAGAGATGTGCTCGGGCAGCAGAGAGCTGTGCGGTCCACTGGGGGCAACGATAGAAAACCCAGAGCCTGAAAGGGATTTCTTCCTCAGAACAGGCCCGCCCAACTTGGTCTAGCCAGATGCGGCCTGTGAGGTATGACCACATTTAAAAACCTGGAGATAGTCTTTTGGGAATTTTTCTGTGTCAACTCGAATTTGGAAAACATAACTGCGTTGGTCAGAGCTTTTCATGACTATAACACATGCTTGAGGCCATCAGGTTATAAAGAAAAAAGGTTTAAGTTGACTCACGGTCTTGCAGGTGCCAGTAAGTTGGCCCTGTTCCCGCAGGCCTGCACTGGGGTAGTGCATCCCAGCAGGGGTGTGTGGTGGAGCAAAAGCCTGCTCACCCCATGCCTGGGATCAAAGAGAAATAGGAAGTGGCCAGGGTCCCACAATCCTTTTTGAGGACACGCCCCAATGACCTCATACCCTCTGCCAGGTCCCGCCTGTTAAAGGTTCCACCACCACCCAATGGAACCAAACGGGGCCTGGAGGACAGCTCAGCCCCTGGCTGTAGGTCTGACCTACACTGAGCATTAAGCAAAAGCAGTACTAGTGGAGGAAGCCGCTAACTCTTTCTCTGTGCCTAAGGAATCGCATACAAGTTTAAAAATAAAGCAGAGGAGGCTGGACGTCCAGTGACCAGAGAAGCTGCTCTGACTGTAGGAGGCAGAAGTTGTTTATTCTCTTTCCCTCAGGTTATGCTAGTTCCTTGCATTTTGGCCAAGAAAGAGGACACACGTTTTAGTTTTTTCCTCAGGACACCTGCGTGATTCTGTTGTGCATTCCTTGTTGTACTTCAAAAATTTATTGAAAAATCACATCATGCTTTCTGGGCCCAAATTTATTGTGAGCCACTCAGGAGAATACTGTGTGAGATTCAGAACCACTAGGACCCTGTGAGTTTGGTAACTGTTGCTGTTCCCATTGAACAGATGAGTAAACAGAGGCATGGTCAGTCGACCTCCTGTCTTCGTTTCTCACTGCTGAGGCACAAACCTGACTCCCACAACTTAAAGGACGAGAAGGCAGGCTGGATGATGGAAGGGGCTGGGCGGAGGAGCGTGGCTTGCCTCCTGGGAAGCAGAGAGCAAAGTGTGGACTTGGAGGAGATGCACACTGTTCAGGACACGGTCCAAGGACCACCTCACAGCAGGCCAGCTGCACCGCTGGTCCCCACAAGCTGGTCACCTCTCCAATGCAAGGACTTCAGGGGCCACTCTAGGCCAAAGTCATGACCCCTCCAGGGTCTCGGAGCCAGGGTGTGTCCGAGCAATGTGACCTCAGGCTCTGTGCAGGGATGGTGACCTGGGCTGCAGAGGCACGCCAGGGTGTCCTTTCAGGCCTGCCCACAGCACCTTCCTGCCCTGCCCTGTCAGCACCCTGGCCCCAGGCAACCTGGACATGCAGCAGTGCCCCAGCGCCCTTGTGTCGCGGTGCCAGCGGGCTGTGTAGCCTGTGGGCACTGGGCTGGCACAGATCAAACATGGCTGCTCCATGATGTGCCCATGCTCTAATCTCCTGGACTTGGAGTGTGACCTCCTCGGGCAAGAGAGTCCTCGGGTGGTGGTTGCGCTAAGGACCCTGGGATAGGAGGGCTGTCCTGGGGTATTCAGGTGGCCTTGCACCCCGTAACCAGTGTCCTTCTAACAGAGAGACATCCAGAAGTAGGATACACAGAGGGGACTTGGAGACAGAGGTGGAGGTGCCAGGGAAGCAGCTGCAGAGACCAGGGGACACTGGCATCACCATGAGCTGGAGGAGGGCATGCGTTGTCACCTGGAGGACTTGGAGGGCATGGCCCTGCAGCCTCCTGGACCCCACCCTCTGGCTCCCAGAACCGTGAGGGGGTAAACATGCGTGGGTGTGAGCTATCCAGGTCCGGCCTGTTGGTAGCATGGCCTCCGGAGCCCAACACATGGGCAAAGGGACCCTCGTGGGGCAAGCACAGGGAGGAAGCTGCTCAGTCACGGGTGCAGAGCAGGCCTGGCCTCCGGGGGTGCTCAGTGGGGCCCCTTGCAGCCAAGCTCCCTGTGCAGCCAGGGCTGGGGGTGGCTGGGCCCCAAGTAAATCAACAAACGATGTTCAACACCAGAAGCGTCTAAAGGCCGTTCACGGTTTTCGGGTTTGAGAGGAATGGATTGAGAAGCACCGCAGGTCTTGGGCTGACAACGGCGCGGGCGTAGGAGCACACGGGGCCCTCGGAGCAGAAGCCCCCAGCGAGGCTGCAGGCCAGGCATTAGGGTCGGAGAGGCCTCCCACCCAGGCGAACCTGCGAAGGCGCGTCCTGGTTTGTTGGAATTCCCGCTGGCGGTGGCAACAGAGCCCTCCTCAGGGAGAGAGAGAGGATTCCTACCATGGTTTCCCAAAGCATCAGGTTTCAGGGGAAAAAAGAGAGATTTTTTTAACCCCCCACTTCCTATTTCTAACCAGTGGGAAGCTCTGACTGCAGTGTGAGCTGCTTGCAGCACAAGGTCTTGTGCTTTAGAAGTAGACAATTCAGCAAATACAGCCAAGCAACCCGGGGTGCGCCCACGCCACCCCACGCCTCTGACTCCAAGGCAACCACGGGTAGGCTCTTAGTGTATCCGTGTCAATATATTCACACATAGGTGCAGAAATATGTTGGTTTGGGGTAAGTATCCCACCCACTTGTTTAGCTTCAAAGGCTCTGTTTTATGTAGCAGAGCAGAACAGATTATACGTCAAAGGCAGGTGGGTGCAAGTAACGCTGGCCAAGGCTTAGCCCTTCGGTAGGGCTGGAGTGGCCTCGCTGAGTTCCCGCTCTGAACTCTGTGGCTGCAGCAGACCAAGCCCTGATCGTTGCCAGTGCTGTGCACGGCCCAGGTCTTTTGTGAGGTGGAAAGAGAGAGGACGGCATCCCTCAGCGTCCTTCAACATCCCTCAGCTTCTCGCGTGCCTTGTGGTACCAGGGATCGAACTCAGGACCTTGCGCTTGCTAGGCTGGCGCTTATGATGCTGAGCTGTCTCCCCTGCCCTGGATCCCACATTCTGTTTCTACGGTAGGATTTTACTTTTCCAGTTTGCTTTTGTGGCAGACACCAAAGCAATTATCGAGTCCTTTTTCCCAGTGCCCGCCAGTGCAGTGGTGCCCGGGCAAGACCCTGCCTTGGGCTGCGGTGGGTGGCTGGAGAAATGAATCCAGGAATCTTGCGAAGTCCACGCGAGCGGGGACAAGCCAGCACCCGTCCTCGCATGCGGCAATTGCTTGCCAGATGCCATGGCCTGTCCATGAAATCCTCTTGGTTTTATTTCATCCTGTCACCATTCTGACGTCATGGCGTCGTGTCACAATGCCACAATCGTCTATGTCATGCACCAAATCTGTCTCTGAAGTCACTAGACTTCCTTCAGTTCCAGTTCAAGGATTTGAGCAAAGCGGCTCTACAGTGGCTACCTGTCCCCTCCCCCACAACTTCCTTCTGTCAGCTTTGGAGAAAAGCGCTTGGACTTGAAAGCCTCCGCTTAACTCAGTGGCCACCCGTGGGCCTCAGAGCCTGCACTGCACCTTTAAGCCGGGATCGAAGGTGAGGCCCCGGCATCCGGTCCCGTTGAGGATCGCTGTGTCTCTGGGAAGGACCTTTTGGTTTCATCCTGTTCTGCGGTTCTCAGCTCCACTTTAATTTCCTGTACCAACTGCCGTTGGTC